TCACTCTGGCCACAGTGCCTGTACCAGCTCCAAGCCTGCCAGCCCAGAGCCAGCAGTCACTGCCCCTGACCCAGCGGCCCCAAAACATGAGCCAGCAAGCCACTGTCAGCCAGCCCTCAACCGTTCCCCAGGAGCAGTCTGCCAGCTCCCAGGAGCCTGCCAGGGCCCAGAGAAGGCAGGTGCCTTTCTGGTCCAGGGTGGAGATCATGGACCTTATTCAGGTTGGGGGGGATGCTCCCAATTATCCATGATCTCCGCACTAGATGGAGGAATGTGGCCATCTATGGCACGATAGCTGCCAGCCTGGCCACCAAAGGCCACATGTGCACCCAGGAGCAGGTGTGCATGAAAATCAGGTTGGTCCAGCAAGACCCCCCAACCCTGACCTTCCCCTTCCCCTTCTTCCCTTGCTTCCCTTTTCCAGCTCTCTCCTCCCAGGTTTCCCTCTCGCCTCCTTTTCCCCAGGCTCACCAGAGTTTCATTTCTCCCCTCCCCCCCAGTTTTGTTTAATGAGAGTTTGTATTCATGAAAATACATGTATTTTATTTGACATTAGGGAGGGGTACGTGGAAGGACGTGAGGGAGGAATGAGGCACAAGCCCCCAGTGGGGCAGACCAAGGAGGCTCTTAGTGCTCCTCAGGGTGGAAATTCTTCCGCAGGGCCTCCTGGATACTGACAGCCCTCCGATGGACCTCCTGGATGGCAGCTTGCAGAAAGTGCAGCCAGGCTCACAGCAACGCGTCCAAGAGAAGCACCAGAGTTCCCAGGGGTGGGTCCTGCTCCATGTGGCAGAGGGCTGTGGTGTCCCAAGTGAGGGCAACCAGAGCACACAGAGACTCAATGCTTTGCTGTCCCTCATTGAGGTCGGCAAGCAAGCAGGGAAACCTGAGAACCGGCTGTCCGGGGGGGGGGGGTCCCTTTAAGCACAAGCCTCAGATAGCCCCAGGCAGCAGCCACACAAAGTAACTCCTGACCTGATGCCCTGCTGGACCTGGTTCCGGCTGGCCTTAAATGCGATTCAGCGTCCAATCAGTGTGGACATGCTATTTCGAAATAGCAAAACACTATTTCAAAATGCATTTTGTGTGTAGACATGTTATTTCAAAATTTATTTTGAATTAACTATTTTGAAATAAGATATTTTGAAATAATGCTGTAGTGTAGACATACCCAGAGGGAACTCCAACCATCTATGGCTCTTCTCCATCTGGAACTGAAATATATTATGCCACCTGAAGCAACAAAATGTATCCCTTTCATCACTCCAGGTACACATGGCCACCATTACGGCCTTCCACCCCTCCATTGTTGGGTCCTCCTTTGCCCACCCCATCTCTAAAAGATTTTAGAAGGGCCTACAAAACCTTCATCCACCACATACACCTATACCCCCCACGTGGGACTTAGAATTGGTCCTCCACTCATTTTGTGAACGAGTGGAGGACCACCCTTTGAATCAATGGCAACTTCATCACTTACCTTTCTTACCATGAAAATAGTCTTTCTGGCAATCATGTCCGTAAGGAGGGTTAGTGAACTTGCAGCTCTCATGGCCTTTCCTCCATACATGACCTTTCACAGCATAAAGTTGTTCTACAGCCCCATCCTTCCTTCTTACCAAAAGTTGGTTTTGAATTTCATATCAATGAATTCATAGTCCTTCACACCTTCTACCCAAAACCACACTGCTCCAGGGAAGGAACTATATTATACACTTTAGATGTCAGAAGGGCCAGTGCTTTCTATCTGGATAGGACTCAGCCCTTTTGACTATCCCAGAGATTGTCGGTATCCCTAGCTGAATGTACAGGGGAAAACTACTTTCTTCCCAGTGTATGTCAAAACTGATAATATCCTGCATTTCCACCTGCTACTCGCTCCAGAATAGGTCATTATTACCAATGACTCCCAGAGCCCATTCCACTAGAACGATGGCGATGTCAACTACCTTCCTCAGGGGAGTCTCACTCCAGGAAAAATGCAAAACAGCAACATGATCATCCAGTCACATCTTCATAAAGCATTATGCGATTCCACCATGCTCCACAGCAGTAGCTACTGCAGTCCTCCCATCAGTCTGTAACAATTAACCGAAGCCCACTTTCATACTGCAGTAGCTACTGCAGTCCTCCCCTCAGTCTGTAACAATTAACCGAAGCCCACTTTCCATCTAAATAGGCACTGCTACACAGTTACTAGCAGTGGAACACCCACGGGGACTTCACTAGAAGAAGAAAGAGAAGTTACTCATTCTGTGCAGTAATGATTGTTCTTCAAGCTGTTTGTCCCTGTGGGGGCTCCACTACCCGCCCTCCTCCTCACTACTTTTGGCACCAGTAATAGCCCATGATGGCATCCGAGAAGAAGCAGAGGGGAAGCAGGAAGCGTGCACTAACTTCAAAGGTGGGAACACCGCTCACACATGCGCAGCCCACCTGACCACTGCTCTGAAAGTCTCTGAACCATGATGCTGGGATGAGCCCAGCACCAACAGTGAAGCACCCACAGGGACAAATATATCAAAGAACAATAATTTCTGCACAGAGAGTAACTTCTCTGTCTCCCTGGCAACATCCTGGCCTTCCTGACCCTCTCCTAGGTCAGTAAGGGAGACTAGCCAGTCCTTTCCTGCACCGTGCCGAGGTATGCCTCTTATCGGCACAAATCCTAGGCCATGCCATCAGGCGCCATCTCTGGCACCAGCCTCAGTGGCTGTTCCACCACCATTGGTTCTGCATCATGTGGCACTGATCAAGAAACCCAGTGTGATAGAACTGCTGGCATCAAAGAAACCTGACCCCAGCCAGAACCGTAGCACTACTTTGGCACGAGAGGCAAAGCGTTTTACTGACACCACGTTCCCCTCTCTAGGGTACCGATCAATCTCCAGATGCCCTTTGGACCACCTGCTGATGTCACAATTATCTGTTCTGTTCATTCCCACTCAGGTGCTGGACATTGGCCATTGTTAAAATACAGGATTCTGGGCTAAATGAACATTTGGTCTGACTCAGCATTGCTATTCTTATTTTCCTGTTACTCTGCTGCTTCCTTCAGAGGGCAGTAGAAGCCCAGACACTTAAACCCCTTATCACTAAGAGCCCAGTCCCCCACCCAGACATTCTCATTCCTTGCCCCCATCCTGCCCATGGAGACAGCTGTGGCGGCATAGTTCCCAAGCTCAGACATTCATCCTCAAAAACCCAGCTCTGACCTCTCTCAAACTCAGAGACTGCAACGTTTCTCCTCCAGAGTCCAGCTGCAGAACTCCCTTATCCCTGAAGCCTGCCCTCATCCCCCCCAAAACCCAGCTGTATCCTCCCTCCCCCCCCATTCCAGCTCTCTCACTCTCTCCTCCCAGAGTCTAGGGATCCAAAGGGAGAAACAGCCAGATGCTGGGTCCGTGGCTTCTCCAGCTGGTAATAGGAGACAGATCAAAGTATAACAAGAAAAAGGCAAGATCGTTTAGGAATTTGGAGTGGTGGACTGTTTATTAATAATTTAGAATAGGGTATGTTCATAGAAATTAAGTTTTATTCAAAGTAGGGATGTTAACCGGCAACTGGTCCCCAGGGAGTGCTCTCCCCCGCACCTGTGGTCTGCTGTTTGTGGAGTGCTGCTCCAGCCCTACCAGGGTCCTATGTGGGCTAATAGCTGGTAGCCTGCCAGCAGCAGCCTCTTGCTGGGCCAGCTGTCACTTCTGGCCCCACGCGGGGTTGCCGGCTGTGCTTGCCACATGCAGAGCTGGAAGCAGCCGGGCTGGAGTAGCCCATGTTTAATCAGTTAATGGGTTAAACAGCGTTTAACTGGGTTAACTAATTAAATGGAATTGTACATCTCTAATTCAAAGTTGGAGAACTGTCTGTGTCTTCTTGTGTCAAATGTTACTCTCCAGTCCTCATATGCTTAGCTTGCTTCCGAGTTCTTGGAATGAAAAATAGTTGTCTAGAACTGCTGATATGTAGGGGCTCGGTTTTGAAGTAATAAAGGTGTGCCTCTTAGTGCTGCTGGCAGTATCTTGTATTTGTAAAGCCAAATGGGCCTTCCTAAAGGGTCATTTCCTCTTCGGGGAGGGGGGGAGGAGGGGAGATCAGACAGAAGCTGCTGAGGCCAAGTGCCTCAAAATCCAATATAAAAGACTGAATATTGTTGTGGGAAATAATTTCATTTCATGTTTTTACTACTTTTTTTAATCCGTGCAAGCTTAATGTTACGTTATCATGATTAGTTTTAAAGAATCCAGCTATGATTTTACTTTGTTCTGTCCCTTGATCTACTGGATAAAATCTTGTTTCTGTGTACTGAGCATGATAAATAGATGAGAAATAATGTACCTGGAAAGTATACCACAGCGGCATTACACAAGTGATGGAAAGCAATGTAGTTTGAAACAGCCTTTTAGGTGCGTAAAAAGGCTGCTTTCCCTTTAAGATTGTAGCATTCCACCCCCATTTTCCTGATTGACAAGCTGCCTAAAGTCACATGACCTGCCTCTATCTGAAGGTCACAAAAAGCTTCTTCCTTTAGAGAGGCGAAGGGGGCGGGGAGGGGGAGAAAGCGCAAGAGGGAGAGAGTGAGTTCAAGCCAAAATGGCCGACGGAGTCTCTGCTGGGTTCTGAACATTTAAAATTGAAAAAAAAAACCAAACAAACATAGAAATCATTTTTGGATCTCTTTTCATTCCCATTTCTACCTTGTATGCCTCAACTCGCTGGATTTAAGCACTGCTGCACTTTATGAGGTTAGTATATTTCGGTTATTTTTTAACCTGCTGATTTTATGTGGATTTTGTTTGACCGTTTCATCAGTGGTGTTGCACGGGGATGTTTGGCATAAACATTTGCTGCATACTATTTTGAATCAGTGTGATCTTGCGTCTTAATGCACTTTGACAAGATTTTAGGATTTGAAAAGCTTTGGTAGAAGTATTTTGACATTTTTAAGGGTTTGATTGCAATTTAAATACACTTATATGTAAATTATATAATGTTTCTGTTTTCCAAACAAGCGAGAGTGCAAGGGATTATTTTAAATCCTGCTTTATTTAAACAGAGGCTGCTTATCCTCCCCACTCCCCAGTGGTTTTCTCCCCCAGCACCTGAAGCTCTTAAATCTGCTGCAAAAATTTGCATAAATATAAATGGGTTTGCATTCTTTATATTGCTAGGACCGATAAGGGGAGGGTGTGGAATGTTTTAGTAGGCTATACTTGCCACAAAGATATAAAAACTAAAATGATGCATCAGTACATTTACATATTGTGTTTGGGTCATGAGTACTGGATGGTTTGGGATTTGGAGGATTCCTGTGCTTTAAAGCCTCTTGTGCAAAATGTGTATCAGAACTCACCCTCTTGCATGTTTCACACTCCTTTCTTGTTTTTCTCTCACCCCCACCCTGCCCCCTCTTGCAACTAGATGCATTTTTATTTTGGTTGCAGTTGAGACCAAATGGTACTGCCCCATAAACATGGCATTTAGAGTTCTGACCAGTCGGTCATGCAAGCGTAGTGTCAATTTCGAAGTAGTCTTTCTTAACCCCCGAAGGAGCTCCCCATTATTGAACATCATAAGTTTGGGTCCAGAAAAATTGTACAAGACCTTTTGTAAAGTATTGAGGTACAAATGTGTATATACATTTGACATATGAGACTGTGGTTGTTGTTTTGCAGGATGTGTGTTTCACGTCCAGTAGGAAATGATCATTCACATACATACTAAGACATGCAATTAAAGACTTGTAATCTTCTAGAATCTTCAAATTTTGCATTGTTGAAAATTAAATCCTAATTGATTTTTACATCTCCCTCCAGAACCATGCAGATAAGTAAAGGGAAATAACTGTAAATCTTGCTCTCTGGGAACAGTCCCCTCCCCCTGCATTGTAAGAGTGTGATGTAATGCTCCTTGCCCTGGAGTGGATGAAATAAGACAAAGTAGTTTTTACTGTGGTCCTGTACATTGTCTCCCTTCACCCCCAATCTCCTCCTTTCTGAGAGGCCTTGTATTCTGTTTGTGTGATATTTTTGTAGACTGTTGATTACGCAGGAGACTACTGTAGGGCTGATGAATCTAGTTAATCTAAATCCATTTTCAAACTCTATTTAAAAATATATTCTAATTATATTCAACAAGTCAGTGATGTAAACCTCCTCTAATAGGGGATCATTGGGTATGTATTTTCTGAGTCTGCATGGTCAGAACACAAACTAAATAGGCAAACCTGAATGCATTTGACAGAAAAAAGCTTCATTTTCTCTAGTTTCATTCCAGTACATTATCACAAAGACTGTTCAAAATACAAAAAGGAAAGAGCTAGAATGTCTAGGGATTTGGAGGGGTGAATTGTATAATAAGTTAGAATAGGATGTGTACGCTCATTAGGAAAATGAGCTTTACTCTAAGTTGGAAAGTTAGAATAGGATGTGTACGCTCGTTAGGAAAATGAGCTTTACTCTAAGTTGGAAAAGGGTCTGTGTCTTGCTGCTGAAATGTTTTTTACTTGTGGGATTCATTTGGGGGGGAGGGGAGGATGATGGTGGGTGACCTAGTTTAGCAACAAAGTAATCCTAAATGGAAGAGAATGTTAATGAGCCAAACATGGATTCCATCTTCTGCCATGCACACGTGTGTAATATTCTCCTATGACCTAATACTAAAAGATATGGAAATATGGACTTCAAGTGTGTTTGTTAGCACAGTCTTGTGGGCTAGTGAAGATATAACAGTAATCAAAATCCAATTAATATTCTATTAATTAGGCCAATTTAACTGGTCTTGTGTGAAATTTATAAAAATATATTGTGGAAATTGTAGTAATACTTATTAAGTTTAAAAAAAATCTACTTGAGTATTTCATATGATCTTTGCTGTGGTCTTTGGATGATTGGCCTCAGGATGAAGGAAAAACATGAACTTTGTCCGGGTTTGTGAATGACGCTGGAGATGGCCTTGTTTTTGCTGCATATTTTTATTTCACTTTGTGTGTTATGCCATTTCATAAATCTGTAATATGTTACCATGTGAATCAACTCCAATTAAGAATGATGGTACATGGATTGAAAAACAGCAGTGTTTTCTAGTTTTGACAGCTGCTCAAGTAGATTGGCCTGGGTAAGATAGAATCAGGAACAAAATTTGGTAGTAGTAGTGACCACTACTACTAATATAGTATGTCAGCTTATATCTACAAAACTTGGTAGTAGTAGTGACCACTATTACTAATATAGTATGTCAGCTTATATCTACGTGTGATCTTTGAGGTGCACAGTGAATAACTGCTTTAAAAGAGATTTTCTTTTTCCTTTAGACAAACATTAAATGATGGCATTGTAAACTTAGAGTTTTGATCCAAAAGGACCTGCTATGGAAAATGCTGGCTACTTTGCAAGCTGCAAAATCCCAGCTACTATATGGGAGTTTTCTTCAGAGGAAAGAAAGGAAATCTATCAAACATCTACTGATGTGGGCAGAGGAATTGACCTGGATTATTCTCTATATTGTTTGTATTCAAATATGCTTTTGCAATACAAATAGAAAATTTAAAATGATTTAAAGTCAATCTCAGGGAGTCCTCTCAGTAGGTAGGTATACATTCAAGGTTTCAGAAACAAACTTCTGTATTGAGTAGTAGCATTTTTTGGAGTTTGAGGTTCACTGTGCTTTTTTTTTTTTTTTTTTTGCTGTGTCCACAATTTTTTGTTGGTCATTTATTAGTATAATTAGTATTTTAATTATTGCAGACATCTGGAACAATCTCAAAGACCTTTCCCTAAACAGTCTCCAAACTTTTAATAATGATTTTTTTGAGTAAGGTGGCAGATAAGGAGATAAGGTCAGGTTTCAAGTAATTTGGACAGTGGCAAACTAGTGGTTTTGAACATACCAAAGATAGATAAATAAAAAACCATTTGGTAGTCCGTTTATGTTGGTAACTTCCTTGCTTTACTACTGGAAAAGATTTCCAAGTCTGTGCTCCTTAATTGAGGAAAGGAAGTATGCTACTTCCAAAGAGTCAGTTCAAGTTGACAGGAATCTAGAAAGTTTAAAGACATTAAGAAGCTTCTCAAAGAGAGACGCTCAGCTGTTGGCTGAGACAAATCTTTATTCAAACCTCTATTAGGGGATTATACATGGGTGTTTGAATTAAGGATGTGAATGGTAACTGGTGGGCTGGCGCAATCTCATGCCTGTCTGGTTAGGAGGACTGCTACAGGGCTCAGTATGTACAGGGGTTGCTCTAGTCCTGCCGGAGCAGCCCCTGCCTGTGGTAGGGTGGAGGGACACTTCAGCCCGCCCCCGTCCAACTGGTTAACCAGATAAATACAGTGTTTAACTGGTTAACTGATTAATTGGGATTTTACATCCCTAGTTTGAATCTCAGCTCTGTAGCCTGTCTAAAAGTTTGTACGTTTAGTATGTACTCTTAAAGACTACGGAGCAAATTTTTCCCAATTGGAGTTAGGCACATAGGTACTCTTAAATATCTCAAGCACCTGCATGCCTTATTCCCATTGGGAAAAATCTTGTCCTTGGTCTTCAGAGGTATTGACACAGCTGTTAAAAATTTGCTGGTGAGTTATACCCACTGACTTGGGCTCGGGCTGAGGGGCTGCTTAATTGTGGTATAGATTTTTGGGCTCTGGGACCTAGCAACTGAGCCCAAATGTCATTAACTATTTCTGCAATAAACAACACAATAGCCCAGGTTCTTGGCACTGGCTTGACACAGATTTTTAATTACAATGTAGACGTGTCTAGAGAGAGAGAGAGAGAGAGAGAGAGAGAGAGAGAGACATTATGGATTAGGGATGTCAATGTGTAGACGACTAAACTGAGGCTTATCAGTTTAATCGTGTATCGGTTAAACTTGTCAACTTTACATCACCACCGACAAATGGGTCCTTCAGACAATTCGCCTCGGTTACACCATCCCATTCACATCACTACCCCCCCCCCCCTTCCCCCCCCCCCCTCCCTAATGGGGAGGGAGAAGAGGGCAGGCAGGAGCTGATATGCTTGTGGAGCCGGCTTTCAAGTAGGGTTTCCATGCGTGCCAGCTCCACGGGACTCATCTCTCTCTCCCTCTCCCCCCTCCCCCGCTGCCTGCTACAGAACCTGCCCCTCCCCCCAATGCCTGCTGCAGAGCAGCCTCTGTCCTCAGGGAGCTTGGACCCCCTGTGGATAGGGGCTGCTGCCACCCCACAATGATGCCTCTGTATCAGACTATTCAATAGTCCACCGGGGTGGGAGCGGCAGCCAATGTGCTCCCAGCCCCACTTCTGGGGAGCCTTCTGCCACCCCACGCTGCTCCCTCTTTATCAGAGGCAGCAGAGCAGGGCGGCAGGTGGAGCCGGTTTGTGCAGGAAGCCGTTTTTTAAAGTGTTTCCCTTTGCGGAGCTGCTCCTGCCTGTCACCTTGTGTTGGTGCCTCTGATAAAGAGGGAGCAGCGTGGGGTGGCAGAAGGCTCCCCAGAAGTGGGGCTGGGAGCGCACTGACTGCCGCCTCTGGGGACTAACAAACAGTTGTGTAACCACTAAAATTTCATGTGGTTACGCAACTATTCAATTACATGCTATCTAACATCCCTATTACGGACCAGTTGCCAATAGGGAAGGACTTGAGAAGCTAAATACCTAACTCCTATCCATTTTGATAAGAGTTAGGTACCTAGATGATTTTGAAAATCCAGGTAAACACCTACTTGCATTTTTAAGTGCTTAAATACATTTGAAAATCTGGC